CACCTTGGCATCTGCCGTGCGCCCCCTCCCTCTTTCTAGTCGCCCCTCCACGCCTCTGGTGGCCAGACTCCACCTGCTCCCCACCCCAGCCCTCCTCATGCCAGGCCCTGTTTTACTCAGTCCCCGCGGTAAACACGCGCCCGCTTCCGTGCCCCCTTGGAAGCCCCTGCCCCCGCACCCCGCACCTCTCTGCTTTCCTTTTCTGCCCTCACTTCCCACTCCCTCTCTGTGTAGAACCGTCACGGGGAGTGACAGTTTTGTGTCTTCCTCTTGGCATCAGGCGTTTCTGGGGAGCAGGGCTTCAACAGATCTTTTGGGGGAATGCAGTCCAATCCATGACACATGCCTATGATTTCTCCTCAGTTGTGCATTCTGGAACCCTTGAAACATTCCTGTCTTTAATGTGGCAAAAATAATTCTTAGTGCTTAACCAACAAAAGTTTATTGAAACGTTTATGAACCCCGAAAAGGGCCTCCCTCCTCTATTCACCAGAGAGGAACCCCAGTTATCACTGAGTGAGGTGCTTTAACTCACACACCTAGGAGAGGATCACACTTTAAGACACAAAAGTAGCGCTACTTTTACTCTGCATAGCCCAAAAGTACTGGCTCCTCGGGCTCCATTATTCCATTCAGAAGCTCGTGCGTTCCATAAATATTTATTCAGTGCCTACTATATGCCAGATACTGTTCTGCAGGGGCTCCTAGGATGCTGTGATGAACAAAACAAAGTTTCTGCTCCTTGGAGTTTAAAGTCTAGCGGTGGAGGCAAGCATAATGGGGGAGGAGTAAGCGTGAGATAATTTGAGATGATGTCATGAATAAAATAAAATAGAACGTGTGAAAGTTTGGAGGACTGCTGTTGTAGATAGGTGATGGGTAAAGCTTTGACGAGATGGTATTTGGCTGAGTACTGAATTAGAATATGGAGAAAGAGAGACAGGCAAGGGGGAAGGCCCTGAAACTGTTTGGCATGTTGCAAGAATACAAACAGAAGACATGGCCAGGCTCGATGGCTCAGCCTGTAATTCCAGCACTTTGGGAGGCGGAGCGAGTAGATTGCCTAAGCCGGTGTGTTAGAGACCTGTCCGGGCAACTTGGTGAGACCTCATCTCTACAATAAATAAAAAATTAGCTGATTGTGGTAGCATGCGCCTATAGTTCCGGCTACTTGGAAGGCTGAAGCAGAAGGATTGCCTGCACCCAGCAGGTTGAGGCTGCAGTGGCCGGGAGTGTGCCACTGCACTCCAGTCTGGGCGACAGAGTGAGACTCCAACTCAAAAAATAAAAAACAGAAGACAAATGTTTGAGTGCCATTTTATCTGTAAAGTGGATGTGAAAGATTAGTATGGAAAGATTAAAATAATGTAGCACCAGCTACAGGATAAGTGTCCAATAAAGCCTATCCATTTATTATCATTTCTTTGTGCTGTGATAGTATGCTAAGGCAGAAAGAAGCCTCTGTGAAAATAAACACAGTGCCATCCTCTTCTGAGGCTGCCAAAGGAGTTGTCCAAAACTCTCTCTCAAAGAAGAGAGAAAGGATTTAGGGGAGGGATAGTAAGGGAAGTCTTGCTCAGGAAGCAAATCTGAGCTGGGTGAAGGGGTAAGGGAATTTTGGCAGGTAGACTGCCTTGTGCTTAGAAAGAAAAATGTGTGGCTAATACATATTCATTACTAAGCAAGAAAGAATGAAAACAAGTGAATTAAACATTCAATTCAGGTAGTTAGAAACAAAGACACCACAATAACCCAAGGAAAGCAGAGGGAGGTATTAAGCAAACAACCCAAATGAAAGGATGAGAAAAAAATTACTAACAAAAGAACGAAAAAGTCTGGGCAAGTACATGTTATGCAATACCAGAAAACCTGAAGGTGTGGAGAACGCTTTTAATCTCCAAAGCTGGGAGTATGTGTGGTTTCAGCTCCAAAAGTGATTTGAAAGAAAATCCTGGGGAAATTTAGAAAAAAATGTTCAGGAAACAAAAATAACTAAAGAATCATCCTGTCATTGCAAGGGAGAAAAGCTAGGTGTCACAGCCATGTTATCAGGCCTGCAAAACATCAACTAACTTTGGCTTTGTGAGAGCTTGTTAATTACAAATGGGTAAATAAATACCAATCTGGGAAATCTCCTGGCAACTGTGCCCAGTAGTCATTTCGCCATACACAGGCATTTGTATGGGTCTATTCACTGCTCAACTTACTCCAGTGGAAAGACACTGGTCTCAAATGAATACAAATTCTAATTTAAGATCCAAGTGCTTATACAAGTTAGTTTAACTGAAGTAAAGCCCAGATGAGCACTTTGCACACAGTAGGCAGTCAAGAATTGTTTGCTGGTTAAATATTAAGAACTACTGCTTTGCCATATTGAAGACTAGACTGCTTAAGAGCTCTAGAATGCACAACTGAGGGGAGAAATCATAGGCTTGTGTCAAGGGTTGGATGGTACTCCTCCAAAAGATTTGTTGAAGTTCCAATCCCCAGTACCTCAGAACATGGTCTTATTTAGAAATAGGGTCCTTGCAGATATAATCAGTTAAAATGAGGTCATACTGGCATACAGTCAGGCCTTAACCAATATGATGTGAGGGCACGAGGGGCAGGCTGGGAGGGAGAATGCCATGTGATGGTGGAGGCAGAGGTTACAGTCATATAGCTGTAACATCAAAGATTGCCAGCAATACCAGAAACCAAAAGAAAGGGAGGAAGCTGATTCTTCCCTAGAGCCCTTGAGAAAGCATAACCCTTGTGACACTTTGATTTTGAACTTGTAACCTCCAGAACTGCAAGAGAATAACTTTCTATTGTTTTAAGCACCCCTCCCCACCCAGCTTGTGGTAATTTGTTATGGTAGCGCTAGGAAACTAACACTGCATCTTTCCAGTAAATGTGCCTATGTGTTGGGTCACACTGTGTTAGGTAGATGAAAACAGAAGAATAGAAGTCTTCAGTGTTTGAGAAGCAGCATGACTAGGATTGTGTGGAGTAAAGAGAAGAAAAGTGCATCAGTTATTCAATACTATAAAAAACCACTCCAAATTTTAGTGGCTTAATACAGCAGAATTTATTATTTATCACAATTGCCTAGGTTCTCTTGCTGGTCTCCCTTGAGCCCACTCATGTGTCTAAAACTGGCATCTCAGCTGCAATGGCTGGAACAACGTGGGCAGCTGGACCTCTCTCCACATGGTCTTTCATCTGTGGCTTCTTCAAATCCTGGCGATCTCCGGATTCCCAGAGGACATGCATCAATATGCAAGTACTGTATTTCTCAAATCTCTTCTTGCCTCGCACTTTCTGATGTTCCATTGGCCAAAGCAAGTCACATGGCCAAACCCAGTAAGTGTGTGAGGGGGACTACACAAGGGCGTGGATTCTGGGAGGTATGATTCACTGGGAACTGTTATCTATTGTTGTGTGATAAACTACCCCCAAACACAGTAGCTTAAAATAATATTAATATCTCACAATTTCTGTGGGTCAGGAATCTGGGCACAGGTGCCTGTGGCTCAGGGTCTCACATAATGCTGCAGTCAAAGTATTGACTGGGCCTATGGTCATCTCAAGCCACAACTTGGGGAGTATTCACTTTTAAGTTCACTCATGTGGCTGTTGACAGGTCTCAGGTCCTCTGTGACAGTTGGCTTAGGACACCAGTTCCAATACTGGACAAAACAGATAAAGTCTTTGCTCTCATGGAACAAACATTCCAGTGGGGAGAGAAAAAAGGGGGTAAACACATAAATATATAAAATGTGAGGTATTTATTAGTGCCATGCAGAAAAATATAACAAGGAAGAAGGAGAGTAGGGTGAGGGTATTTTATTTTACTTTATACTTTACTTTTTCTTTACTTTACTTATTTTATTTGAGTTGGAGTCTTTTTTTTTTTTTTTTTTGAGTTGGAGTCTCACTCTGTCCCCCAGACTGGAGTGCAGTGGCCGCTCCCGGTGACTGCAGCCCCGACCTGCTGGGCTCCAGCGATCCTTCCGCCTCAGCCTTCTAAGTAGCTGGAACTATAGGCGCGCGCTACCACACCCGGCTAATTTTTTGATTTATTGTAGAGGATGAGGTCTCGCCAAGTTGCCCAGGCGGGTCTCGAACTCGCGGGCTCAGGCAATCCACTCACTCAGCCTCCCAAAGGCGTGGGATTACAGGCTGAGTCACCGAGCCCGGCTGGAGTCTCTTTTTACAATTTTTTTTATTTCTATTTTTTGAGTTGTAGTCTCACTCTGTTGCCCAGACTGGAGTGCAGTGGCACGCTCCTGGCCACCGCAGCCTCGACCTTCTGGGCTCTGGCGATTCTTCCGCCTCAGCCTTCCAAGTAGCCAGAACTACAGGCGCGCATTACCACGCCTGGCTAATTTTTGATTTATTGTAGAGATGATGTCTTGCCAAGTTGCCTGGGTGGTCTCGAACCTTCAGGCTCAGGCAATCCACTCACCTCGGCCTCCTAAAGTGCTGGGATTACAAACTGAGCCACCGAACCCGGCCACTATTTTATATAGGGTAAAAAGAAGAGTTTTCATATAGGTTCACAATTTGGGAGCAAGTCGTTTTGATATCTCGGGGAAGAATGTTCTTGAGAGAAAAAGTGCAAAGACCACAAGGGAAGAATGTGCTTGGATT